CATTGTGTCAACCCTGAGGGGTTGTTTAACTGGTCAGGCCTTGGGTTTGCTCCCCAATGGTCACCAGTTCGAGTCCCCTCAGGGCCACTGAGGTGAGTACCCGGTTGTAAATTTCAGGGCCTCGTGGAATTAGTCGAGGTGCGCGCAAGCTGGTCCGGACATCCACAGTTATAAAAAAAAAAAAAAAAGGAACATTGTGTCACTTTTTCAATGTCACTTTTTTTTTTATTGTGTCACCTTTTCAATTAAAAAAGTGATAATTAATTTTACACAGTATTTTTTACTTCTAAAATATTTTTTATATGATTTTTCAAAGGGTAATTATATTACCACTACAAATTTTATTAAGTGCACCACATTTTCTAATATTTTTTTATTTACTTAAATAGCCTTTAAGTAAAATTACATAACTAGAATTTTAATATATAAATTACCTTAAAATTTTATTAAGTACGCCACTTTTTTTTTTGGTTGTTTCTTTATCGTCTCCTTCACCCACCCCATCCCAAAATCAGAATAATCTCCACCCTCAAATCGTTGGAAAACCAATCGTCGCCACAGCAAAACCCAAAATCCAAAAATCAAAAACCAAAAAAGGTGGAAGTTCGTTTCTGCTGCTTTTGCTTTCCATGGATATCAAAACAATCAATGTGAATGTATCTAAAAAATTCTGAATGAAATTTGATAGAATTGCAAAAGAAGACCGTTGGCATATTCCTCTTCAAGGAGAGGGATACAAAAAGAATAATTTTTTTTGGCACGTGAAACAACACAGTAGCCTTGTTGTATCTTGTTCTTCCTTCTACCCCCACCCAAAGCTCTAGCAAAGAATTTCTCTCAGCCGCCGATCACTGCCTTTCAAATCTTCTTAACCCATTCTCAAAACCCTAATTAATTCTTAAATTAATCACTCTAATGACATTCTCACTCTCCCTGTTGCGCTACAAAACTCCATTTCACAAAAAAATTCTAATTTTTAAAAACCTCTCTAAATTCAATTTCACGTAATCCCCAAACCCTAATTAATTCTCCTAAATTTTTCGCTCTAATGGTTTGTTAGAGTTCGGAGTTGAGGATAATGATATGCTTGGAGCGGATACAACATAAAAAGTCAAAATTTTGGTGGAAAGGATTGCCTTGACGATATCATTTCTGGGCTGATACTAAATCAAATGATCTAATTAAATATGATAGAAATGATTGAGAAAAATGATGAGTGCACCACACTATTGTATTTTGTTTTTCATTTTTCATTTTTATTGTATTAGGAGTATAATTGTAAATTTGTTGTGGTGTGTTTATAGAAAATATATTTTAATTGTGGTGTGATTATAATGTGGTGTAGTAATTAAATTTTGTGGTGGTAATATAATTATCCTCTTTCAAAAGTCCCTTAATTTTAAGGGTACTTTTGTAAGTTGCCCTTCTAAAAAATTATCAAAATCGACAAAAAGCTCCTGGAATCCTACGAGTTAACCCGCCATCAATTGGGACTAGAAAACAAATCAGCTGAATTTAAACATAAAACAGTGAAATGATGATTTAATCCCATATTCCAAATAAATTATCAACAAACGAAGGAGAGAAACAATCGGAATACCATTCCCTTAATCTCCATGAATGCGCAATCAGATATACAAAATCTTCCATGAATTTAATGCTGTTAATTACCATATATAAGCTATTAAATAGCAATCAAACAAATATTTCAATATGGCTTTTCTTGAATCCTTCGGTTACTTTTCCCAGTCTCAAGCAATTCAGCACGATGTGATTTTCAATCCTAAGGTGAACGACAAGCACAGAAACCCTTCCCCACACGGCGGCCGAGGTGCTCTACCCTCTGAAGGCGGCTGCCCCTCCGATCTGCTCTTCCTTGCTGATGGTGGCTTTTTTCCTGTCTTCCACTGCCACTGCCTCTGCCTCATTCTAACGACACAATTTAATTATAATTTAAATTAGGCATTTTTTTTTCTTGTTTTGAATTTTAAACGATCGCATATACATATGCTTAGATCCAGGACGGGATGTTGTTATGAAACAACCAAAATATCTCTTGTTAGAAGAATATTAATATGCCCGAATCGTTATTAGCAATGTTGGAAATACAAGAATTATATATTGTTTGAATACTATTTAATGAAATCAACCACCCGAAAGAATTGTTGAAGTTACATGGCAAATAATGAAGTATTAGATCAAGTAAAAGAATAATAAAGACAAGAAATATGACAGAGAAATTAAGAGATTTTATTGATTCAAGAATAATGGAGAAGAAAGAAAATTACAATGGATCCTATAATTCTAGTAATCTATTTTCTCCCATTATAAAATTGTATTGAAGAGCCTAATATTTATAGGGAACATGTAGGGGATGTCAAAACCCTCCTAGTAGAGTTGTTGATGAAGTAGGATACCAAAAAATCGAGTCCAAAACAAATTCAAACTCTCAATGAGTTTCCAAAATAGAATTTCAACTTGACATAGGATTCCAATAGTATTCCAAACTGAAGTTTCCTTGACGTGCACTTCAATTAGAATTTTTCAATACTTCAAACAAGGAACTTGGGCCACATCCAAATTTTAACAATCTCCGGCTTGACATGAATTCCACCAAGGAATGAACTGGCTTCTTCGACAATAACTAAAAAAATTAATTTTTTCAACAAAACACAATACTCCACATCTTATTAATTTCTTCAACAAAACACAATACTCTACATCTTCCAATGAATCCAGCATTACTATTGTAAAATTATCTTAGATTCCCAAAAAAATAATAATGATTTATTCACCAAATTGGGATGTAACACATCCTAAAGTAGAATCAAACTCAAATGCTTTTAAAGAAGGCCCCTTACTAGAATGAACATATTCTACTCCACTTAAAGCATGCTCAACAAAATCAATATCCACATACAATTTTCCACTGGGTCCGTCCCTAGCAATTGAATTCAATGGCACCGCAGGTGATGGTGGCAAAGCGATATTATCCATATCTTCTGAACTTCACTGAGTCATATTCTTCAAATCCGACCATTTACGAGCTCCTAAAGGTATTGTACCAAACTAAATGTCCACAAGGTATTGAACCTGTGCGGATTGACTCTTCTAGATTCTGTACGACCCTGTAAGATGTATAACTGAGACCTTTTATGTCCCTCCAATACAACTTGGACACCCTTACAAACCTTCAAAGCTCCACCTCCACAAAAACTTATAACGCTTTGAATCAAGAATTAACAACGAGATGAGATTTTTCTTCAAATCCAGAACATGTCGAACCTGACCAAGTGTTCTAATTGTCCCATCCAATAGCTTCAATATAACCGTACCAATTCCAACGACCCGACAAGGTGTGTTGTCTCCCATAACCACGACACCTTCGGAAATGGTTTCATATGTAGTAAACAAGTCGTTATTAGGACATATATGAAACACGCACACTGAATCCAGAATCCAATCCTCCTCTGATTTAAACTTGATGTCAAAAATAACCAAGAGATCTCCTTCACTTATAATGTTCTTTGCGAGGTCTGCTTCACCTGAAATCTCTAATTGCTTCCCGTATCGACTTGCAGCTAACCTTTCTTTATTCTACAATTTGTAGCAATCATTTTTCAAGTTCTCCTTCTTCTTGCCGAAGTTACAAATCTGATTACTGAACTTAGATTTCGATCTGCCCCTTCCAGAACCACCATGACCAATAAGACCTTCTCCATCTCTGACCTTAGAAACCAGATGCTTCATCTTCTCTTTTGAGAATAAAGCATCATACAACTCTTCAATGGTAAGAGTATCACGACTATACAAGATCGTATGTCTAAATGAAGAAAATTAAGTGGGCAACGAACACAATATGATCAAAGTCAAATCTTTTTCATCATACTCTACTTCCAAAGTTTTCAAATCAGCGACGATCTCTTTAAATACAGTCGGATGATCTTCCAATGATCCTTCTTCTACCATTCGATGAGAGTATAAACGCTGCTTGAGGTTCAATTTGCTAGTCAAACTTTTAATTATGCACTATTGCTCCAACTTCAACCATAGAGCAATTGCTGAAACCTCATTCAAAACGTCTTGAAGAATGGTATTCGATAGATGAAGATGAATGTGTGAAACTGCCTTCTTATCCTTTTGTAATTTCTCCTCTGTGGTCAAAGTTGCGGGCATCTTGTCAATTTCCAGCAACACATCATCCAAATCCTGCTGTGGAAGGACTGCATGCATCTTAACATGCTATAGCGAAAATCTAGTGCTCCGATCCAAAAGCGAAATTTCATACTTCATGGAAGCCATCACGAACAAAAAATCTCGAACAAATTAAACCATGCGATTTTGCTGAACGGCTGAACTTGGCGCTCTGATACCACTTGTTATGAAAAACCAAAATATCTCTTGTTAGAAGAAATATTAATATGTCTGGATCGCTGTTTGCAATGTTGGAAATACAAGAATTATATATTGTTTGAATACCACATGATGAAACCAACCACCGAAATGAATTGTTGAACTTATATGACAAATAATGAAGTATTAGATCAAGTAAAAGAATAATAAAGACAAGAAATATGATAGAGGAATTAAGAGATTTTATTGACTCACGAATAATGGAGAAGAGAGAAAATTACAATGGATCCTATAATTCTAGTAATCTATTTTTTCACATTATAAAATTGTATGGAAGTGCCTAATATTTATAAGGAACATGTAGGGGATATTCAAACCCTCATAGTAGAGTTGTTGATGAAGTAGGATACTAAAAAATCGAGTCCAAAACAAATTTCAACTCTCAATGGGCTTTCAAAATAGAACTTCAACTTGACATAGGACTCAAATAGCATTCCAAATTGAATTCTTCTTGACGTGCACTTCAATTAGAATTTTTTAATACTTCAAACAAGGAATTTGGGTCATGCTCAAATTCTAACAGATGTATATAGAAAGGATGTTGACTATAAAACGAGTGCCACCCGTGGTCTCTAATTATCAAGAGAATGCTTCATTCGAGGACTTGGAAAGCAAGGCTACAGGTTGCAGCTGCAATTGCCTTGGAAACTACTACTTACCTGGTATATTTTTAATCAATTAGGAATTCGCCCACATGCTTAGTATGAATTTTTTACGATTTCTTTTGAGTACGTTGTCCGACGACATTATCTATATTGTGATTCAGCTAAAAGGTTTTTCTCTGGTTATTATAATTTGTTGATATTACTTCCAATTATTCTTGGCTTTCCAGATTCTTGATTTTGTGTTTGCTTAAGTGTTTGTTTCATTGTAATGGTTTAGTAGGAAAGTTCCTGTAGGCTATTATGTTGAGACAACAAAATCTTTGATTCTTAAACAATTCAACTGGAATAGTTTTCCTTGACATGCGTTTAATACGCAAAAAATCAGGCAATCCATTAGCTTTCCTTGTTAATTAACCAGCAATGACTATTAAGAGAACTATCTAATTTTTTTGTGAATTGTTCAATTGAATTGATTAATTGTACTTTTTCAGTTTCTAAACTACCTCTCTATGCATTCAAGAATGCAGCGCAGGAGAGAGTTGAGAATGGCATTGACTTGTCTTGTCTTGTGGAAGAGAACCTCTAATGTCCTTTTTGAATAATTTGTTGTTGGGATAGTAGGAGGAGCGTGAGTAGGGGCCTTTTTAGGTATGACGTACCACATTTGAGACAAAGGTCATTCCAAGCAGACATGGTCTTATTGCACAGCTAAATGAGGGACGCCACCTTAAGAAACGAGTGACAGAGTTTCGTATTGATCAGGTTCTTCAGCCATTTGACGATAACAAATTTAACTTCACAAAAGTGGGCCAATTGGAAATCCTTTTCATGTTGGAATCAAGCAATGACAATGAATTGCATTACTTTCCGAGTTCAGCAGTTGATGTTGCTTCTAGCTCACACAGCGTTGTTGCCATCAATGTAAGTTATTTCCTTACTTCATATGGGTTGCATACTATGTAGTGAGATAGATTTTGAATTGTAGAGTGCCCGCATTTTGTTTTTTCTGGTGAGTCCTATCAAGTATGGGCATGTACTTCTGATACCCTGTGTTCTTGATTGTTTCCCGCAGAGGATTGATCATGAGAGTTTCTTGTTTGCCCTTCACTTAGCTAGAGAAGCAGCAGATCCCGCTTTCAGAATGGGTTATAATAGTTCGGGTGCCTTTGCCACCATCAGTCACCTCCGCTTCCAGGTGCCGACTGATGCTAGAGTAATAGTATCTAAGTTATTGGATTATCTTATGTCTGGTCTTATTTTTACAGGTGGGTGCACATTGCACAATTTATCTGATGTAGTTGCCGACTCCTGTATTTTCCTGCAAAATAATAACATTCCTATCGATGTACTAATAGCTGATTATGGCAGAAGAATTTATTTGCTACCTCAGGTAATTTATCTCAAAATTGCTTAGCTGCTTTCATGGCATGTATCTGTGAATTAGCAACAATCATGTATTATCAAGTCTTGTGAAACATGGAATATATGAGTTATTTTCCCGCAATAGAGGTTACTCTAAGAGGTGCCAAAGTTATTTTCCCGCAATAGAGGTTACCCTTAGAGGTGCCAAAGTACACCTATAAATGTGCTTGCAAAGAATGATACATTGTAACTCTGTTATACTTTTAGTCTGATTTCTTACGGCTTATTTGATCATTGAGAATATTGGTTTTGTGGTACATACCATCATTGCAAGGTAACAATTACCATGGCATGGAGAAGAACTTGAGTTCCCAAATTCTACCACTTGCCATCATGTTATATAATGTGGAGAAAGATTACTCTTGTTAGTCATAAGATGTAACTTAGCTTGCAGATTGTTCATTGATCAGTTTATACGAATATGAATTCAGGAGAACATTCTTTTCGGTGATTAATATATCACACTTGGTAAAAATGAGTAGCATATAATTATGTAGCATATATTTTTCAATATACACGAATGATTCTGAGATTTATTATGTTATGAAGTTCTAGATATCTTCACCAGTTTATGCTATCAAAATATTTCTGTATTGCACTAGAAGCTAATTGTGGCTTTTTATTGATGAAATTCTAGTGTTATGCCGAGAAACAAGCACTTGGAGAAGTAGAACGGAAGCTTCTGGACAGTCAAGTGAATCCTGCTGTTTGGGAAATCGGTGGACACATTGCGTAAGAGAAAAAGGATTACAATGAAGAGTCTGAACAATATGATTGAAGACTTCTTTCTGAGGTTTCTCTATTAGAAAAGAGGTTTCAGTAGGTGGCAAAATTTATTGCTGAGGCGGTCGGTTTTCACCAAGCAGATGATGATATTACTGCAACGCACGAGTGTAACCAGGAGTCTGGTGTGCCACGAGCCTCTTCACATCTAACAAAAGATCGTCTCGTGCAGCATTGATTTTATATAGCTTGCAATGTGAAGAGCCTCTTTCTTTTATAGCGATAGGTTATTTTATGAGTAGGAAGCTTGTTTAGGTTTTTAAAAAACTTGAAGCTTGCTCGAAGGTCATGACTGGTTTGTTGTTATAGTGATAGTTGGAAACAATATTGTGAACCACACTTTTAAGTATATATTTCCCCTCGATCCATATATATATATATATATCTAATGTGCGTATTTTTTTAGCCCCCTATTTGATTTCCATTTTTTTTAAATCATTTTTTTTTTCAAATAATCATATTCTTCCAAGAAAATAATTTAACACGAAAACTCAAATTTTACATATTCTTAAAAAATTCATTATTATAAAATTTATACTCCCAAACAATGACACTTAAACAAATCCTTAGTATAACAGGGACAAATTCTTGGCACAAATTTGCACAATACACACGAAAAAAGATACAGGCAGCTTTGTAAAGGAACACAGAATTTATGAATAAACACCCAACTTATTTATTACTCCACAATAACACAATAACACGAAGGAACACCACACCCTCTCTCTATGTCTCATCAATCCAAACCTTCAAATATATAGAGCCAAAATTCGTGTACAGTTAACACCCTTAACTGCCAAAAGGATAAATCTACCCACTTGACTAAAATGGCTAGAAAACTTCATTACACTACATTTCCTAGCAACTATCTATACTTTCCACCTGTATGGACCATGAAAACTACCCAACACGTGTCAAACATGTGATTGATTTGGACATTCAAATTTGTAGACTAGAGCACACTGAACAACAAGCTAGATCCGTCCATGCCTTGCCAATTTCTGCCAATCCGAAACACTTTGACACTAGCAAAATTGAAGCATCATGCCTACAAATTGAAACCCATATTTTTCTTTGTTCCGAAATCCGAAGTGTGCACCATCAACACACATGTCTGCAAAATTTCAGCATGAGGCAAGGCGTGCCCATGCCATTGCGCATGTCAACCTTTAAGAGGCTGACAAAAATTTCCCACCGGAAAAGTCTGACGTCCTCATTGGAAGAGATTCAAGATACTCCTTCACCTTATCCTCAAACTGCCACAGATCGACATCCCTTTCATAGGTTGCATCAATCTTACTACTACCCTTCCACAAGACAAGATAGTTTGTTCTTCTATTTTTTTACTCGTCCCCATTGTTCGATGACCCAGAATCTTTGCCACCTCCTTATTATACTATTTTCTGATCATAGGAGGAGCTCTCTTGGCTGCAATCGATCTTCTCCCACCTAATTTTCATTAAAGGGCTTCAAATAACTTACGTGAAAAGTAGTATAAACCTTCAAACGTTCAGGTAGCTTTGGCTAATATGCTACCTTCCCTACACGTTTGATTACTTCGAAGAGATCGTCATATTTCTGAACCAGCCCATGATATGTGGTCTTGCTACTAATCTTCTTCCGAATCTAAGGAGTTAATTTCAACATCACCTTATCCCCAACCTAAAACTCCACACCTCTCATGTTCTGATCAACATAATTCTTCATTTATCGGGCAGCATTCGCAATGCTATCCTTAGCTTGCTCAATCATCTCATATTTATCTTGTGCAAACCGAAAAGCAACTGGGTACACATTGCGTCCCCCTTGTTTTATAATCTCAAGAGGCGTCTTGGGCATATGCTGCAGAGTTAACTCAACCGAACACGTACCTGTAGCAGAGGATTGATGTAGATTGTAGCAAAACTAAGATGTATCAAGCAAGGCAACCCAATTTTTTTACAGTTGTTGTAACATAATGTCTGAGATATTCTTCTAGCAACGCATTTATCCTTTGTGTCTGACCATCTGTCTGCGGATGATTTGCTATTGAAAACTTCAATTCAAGCCCCATCATGTTAAACAGCATGGTCCAAAATTTGCCTGTAACCCGAGAATCTCGATCACTCACTATATCCTAGGGTATTCCAAAGTATTTCACAACATTTTTGAAAAATAATCCAGCAGCAACGTCAGTTGTACACTCATACAGAGCTGGAATAAAAATTGAATGTTTTGAAAACCTGTCCACCACCACCATAATGGACTTGAACCCATCAACCTTCGGGAAACTGAAATGAAATCCATAAAGATCGACTGCCAAGACCGCTCTGGAACCGGCAAAGGCTGGAGCAAACTTGTCTATTTCCTCATTTCGATTTTATTCTACTGGCACACTAAACAAGATTTCACATATGCATCTACCTCGTCACCATCTTTGGCCAGTAATACAATTTCGAGAGCAAAGCCAACATCTTTTCGATGCCCGGATGACCTGCTCACCGTGGATCATTAGTTTTCTTCAACAATACTTGCCTCAGTCATCCACCTAAAGGCATATATAATATGCTGCCTTTCGTATAGATCAAACCGTTTTCAATCAAATACCATCTTACCAAGTCATCTTTAATTTCCCACAACAACTTGGCATAAGCAACATCCGTTTCAGCACACTGTTTGATTCTGTCAAGAAAATCAAATTCGACTATCATCAAAGCCAATACATAAGCTTCCATGAATTTCTGACTGAGTGCATCACCAACTTGATTCTGCTTGCCTGGCTTATGAACCCATACAAAATCAAACTTAGCCAAAAACTCCTGTCATCTCACTTGTTTTGCCGACAACTTCTTTTGGGACCTGAAATATGTGTTGGCTACATTATCTATTAAAACGGTGAATTTCGTTCCTAACAAATAATGGCGCTAAGTTTCAAGACAATGAACAACCGCCGTTATCTCCTTCTCATGAGTTGAATACCATTGTTTTGCCTCTTTCAATTTTTGATTTTCATAAGCAATCGAATGGCTTCCTGTACCAATACACCTCCAATAGCATGGTCAAATGCATCAATGTATACTTCAAAAGGCTTCTTAAAGTCAAGAAACTACAACACTGGTTCAGTTGAAACAGCATATTTTAACTTCTCAAAAACTCGTTGGCACTCATTGGCCCATTCCCATTTCCAGTCCTTTTTCAGTAAATTCGTCAAGGCGTTTACTTTCTTGGAGTAGCATTGAATGAAACGCCGATATTAGTTCACTAATCCAAGAAAAGAACGTAATTCAGCAACCTTGGATGGACTTGGCCAATCCGTGATAGCTTTTACCTTCTTTCTATCCATTTTGATTTTCCCTTGACCAACCCAATGTCCTAAAAACATCACTTCTGAATGGAAAAATTTGCATTTCTCCTTATTGACATATAATTGACGTTCTCTAAGCTATGAGAACACCTTTCTCAAGTGGACAACATGATCACCTACTACATATGACAATATCATCCAAGTATACCACCACAAAATTATCCAAAAACTCATACAATATGTTTAAATTCGACATCTGAAGTCATTAAGTACCGTTTATTGTATGCATTAAGATCATGCTAATGTGAGCTCAGATATTTGACGTCAGCTCGTATTAAGTGATTACTGAGGTCTGAAGAGACATAATGATTGAAGATTTCTTGCACATTGTACAAACAGTGAATCGACAAGTGATATCTGAAAGACCCTTCGTTAGCGCCCGCTAATTTCACCAATCACATGCCTCAGCTCTTTTTTCTAAGTAGTTCATTAATTGCTAGGGACCGCATGTAAGGTTAATTCATGATGACCTGACAAGTCGAGCTCACTAACAAATCCAAATGTGTCAATGTTGTACTTTCTCAGCTCGGTACTATAGCTGAAAGGACAAGGAAATGAAGAATACATGAAAACATTTCCCTGTAAAAGAGAGAATGGAGGCCTTGAAGAAGAAAGAGATAAAAAAAAAAAAGCTCTAAACACTTCATATTTCAAATATCTCTTTGAAAAAGAAAGCAAACACTTGTAGTTACAATGGTAATTTGCAAATCATTATCAATAAAATCCTTATATATGTTTTAAGTAGGCTTGAATCTTGTTGATACAATTTTCGACGACAACAATTTGGTGCTAGAAGAAGGGCCATAACTTGTAAAAGTAGCATTATCTCTCCATAAAATCTATGAAGAAATACCACCATGGATGGTTTTTCAACATCCGGAAATCAATCCCACACTCGTCGTGAACAAACCAGCAATCCACAAAATATTGGAAGAATACGAGGTCAAAACGAAGCCGATGACCCTCAGATGACCATGATGAGGGAAGCTATTGAAAAGTTGACAAATGTAGTCAACAAGTTGGAATGAAACCAAAACTCACGTTCCACCACATGACACTAAGGTGGAATCCCCACACAGGGAGAGAACCAAATGACCTTCCACCATAAAGACTTTCCAATTCTCAGGAGAAAAATCCTCCAAAAGCCGAACTGAAGATATCAGGAGCTCTCCCATAACAGTAACGTTGGCTGTTAGGAAAGCTAGCAGCGTATTTGATAGATTGGGCTTTCAGCACTCCCTAACACCTTTGAGTAAACATGCTGAGCCCCATGTCAAATGATCATTGGAACAACTAGAGCCTGAAATCAGTGCCTTGAGAAAACACATTGCTGATTTAGAAGCTAAAGACAAAGGAAACATGGAGGAATGTCTCACCAAACGCCATTCTCCCTTCACTAAAGATATCCTTGCCGACCCTTTGTCTAAAAAGCTAAAGATGCCACGACTGATCGGATACGAAGGAGAAGGAGATCATCTCAACCATTTAGACAAGTATACTTCTTTGATATAACTGGAAAGAGCAAGAGATGCCATAATGTGTCGTGCTTTTCCGCTGACCTTGGGAGATAAAGCCTAAAGATGGTTTAGAAGGCTACATCAAAGATTCAT